GGGGGGAGGGGGGGCTCGAATCAGTCAGCACATGTTGGGGCTTAAAATACCTCTGGAAACCAAACATTCTAGGTTTTTTGATAAGGGGGGGGGATGAGCCCTCTTAGCCCCCCCCCCCTCGTTACGCCTTTGATTTTAATTGTTTGTAAAATCCTTGAATTACCTTTGACCAAAGCTTGCCCAGGTTTCAAGTTCAGCTGCTAGGTTCGTTCTACTGCGCTTTAACTCATCCTACATAAACGTGGGTTTCAAACCAGGTAAACAAAAAACTAGAGGAGACCAACAGCTGTGTAATATCATAAATCAAATTAGGTTTGGACAGAAGGACGTGTAAGTCGAAAGTTGAGTTTGAGGAGGTTGGACGTAGATCGACGGAGTGGCCTTATATCCCTTATAAAGCCATAAAATCAGAATAAAAAATTGAGTCATAACTACTAGATAGTTACGTATTTCTTATACAAAGTAAACGTTTATTTGTTCAAAATTATAACAAAAGTAAAAAATCAACATAAACTCCTGTTTACTATAATATTTTTAATTATTTATTATAATCAGGGGCGGATACAAGATTTAAGTGAAGGCCGGCAAGATTTTATAGGAAAAAATTTTTTTTTTTGACTTAAAAGACTCAAAAAGAGACAAAATTATTGACTAAAGACTAAAAAACTAGATTTTTAATTTTTCACACATTATAGTTTATTAAGACAGATGAATGGATGTAAGGCATAATTTTTACTCAAATCGAGTAGCTAACCAATGGAACAGCTTGCCGCCGGACATTAAGGAAGCAAAATCAATTAATATCTTCAAAAATTTGCTCGATAATCATTTGTTTAACTAGAAAGTCTTTGTGCCAGGACTAGAGAGCGAGGACTGAACTTATGAGGATGCACAATGTGAGGTTAAGATCTCTACTCCGTGAGGTCAAGACCAGAGATTCCCGCTATGTTCCTAACTGGAGCCCTGGCGATTAAGCATCAAGTATTCCAAGTAAGTATAGATATTTATCCTGTTTTGCACTAGGGTTTCTTTCCCTTAAGCATGCTATTGAGAAGCTATTCTGAAAATAGGAAAAAAATTCCAAATTCAGGGGGGGCGAATGTCCCCCCCCCCTGTATCCGTCCCTATTTATAATGTATTGCAAACCCATGCCATAAACTTCGTTTTATATAAAGTCTAGAGCTTAAAAATGGAAAATAATGAATTTTCAAGCGAAGTGAGAGGGGAGGGGAATTAACAATACTAATTATGAAAAATTAAACCTGAGTTAGATAATCCTGGCTAGCTGCCGGGGTAGGGCCAGTAAAATATCTTTCCATACGGCTGGAAAATTAAGAAATTGTTTGATTATTATCTCAAATCAAATCAAATCAAATCAAATCAAATCAAACCAAACCAAACCAAACCAAACCAAACCAAACCAAACCAAATCATGTCAAATCAATTAATTAATGGCAATTAATTGCAAAACCTTTTATAACATTTCCCATTTTCAAAAGCTTATTTGTTTGAAAAATCTATTCAATTCTAATAACAATAAATGAGTCAGACCTGAGACTAAGGTTGGATTCCTTCTTAGGTTGAGGGGCATCAAGATCCTCATAAGCTGTCTTCTCGTTTAATCTCTTCCTTGATGCCTAATCAATATAAAATGTACGATAGCCGGACGTTTCACCTTATTCTCTTTGGTGGTAAATGCTTGATTTTCAGTTCTAATAACTTGCTGAAACTAACTAATTTTAGGGTTTGCCGAAACTTGAATATTTAAAAAATACCCAAAATGCTCACACATAAAATTAATTTAAACATCCCTGAGCCCAAAACTTAAGACAGGGTATCGTTATGAAAACCAGTTTTGGAACCTGGGTTTCACAAATGGGCTTACCCAGTTTTGTAGATATCGATATTTTTGTTTTGAAATATTATTTTATTTAGTTTCTTCATATTTTACCATTTTTTTTTAATCTCTTAAATCAAAATCTACACAAATAATAAAACCCCAAAAAGGAAACCCGGGAGTTTTGTTCAACGATACTCTTTTAAATTTTGGGCTCTGGACAAAATGAATGTGCAGAATTGTACTGTTTACGTACATTATTCACATGTACACTGCAGTGGTTAATGTTAACACAAATTTTTCATAAATCCAGTTTCAATATTGTCATGGAGGAATTGCATTTAGTTTTGTTTTCGGGAACCGACATTTAATCCAATAGACGTCTTTGTACTCCCTCTTTGAATGGGAACCCCAATCGACAAGAATTCTTGCGAGAAATATACGAGTTCAACTGATTGTAAATTCTTTGATGTGGATATACATTAAAAATTATCTTATGGAAATAATAAATATAATAATACATAAACCTTTCCTTGGCTCATGTGAGGTTCAACACAAAATTTGGGCCCGATCGGTTCAGCCGTTTTTACGTTTATTGGATACAAACGGACAGACAAACAGATAAGCAAAGTATATATAGATTTCTTATTATCAATAATATTGTAGAAATTATGTTGTATTTAAAAGCAGCCCTAACTGCAGTTTAAGTAATTTGCCGCAAAACGATTAGGTAAAACGTCCGGCTATCAAAATGTACATGACAAGGAATTAATAATAATAAAAAGACATTGCATAACTTTGACAATTGACATGGCATGAAAATGACATAAAATTAGATAATTAGAAACAGCATAAAATGATTAGAAAAGGTATTGAATATCAAAACACACTTCTAAAAATGTAAGCTGAAATGGGCTGTCCAGTGTCCACATAATTCCAGGTAATCCTCCATTTTAACATTTCCGTTTACAGCAGTGTCCTTTAAACCTTTATTTGAGATCAACAATCAGGAGATATCGTCGCTATCAAACTTTTAACAGAATTAAATTCTGTCAATTTCCTAACTTGTCTGCTCACTTTATGATTTTCAGATAGAAATTCAAGGATATCTTAATCAATTATGCTTTGAAAAAGGTTAAAGTGTACCACTGTGAATCGATCGATGAAGGATCACCGGAAATAACGTCAGCAGTCTCTAGGCCAAATTGTCACCTTCGGAGGTTGAGGTTGAGCCTCCTCCACGGCCTCCTTGTTTTCTGCAGCCTCCATTACCATTATTGAATGATGATTGAATCTTTTTATTATATTCTGGTGAATTATATTCTGGCTTGTTCCTCCCTAGATCAACAAGAACAATATCAACAATAGAAATAACAATAACAATAACAATAACAATAACAATAACAATAACAATAACAATAACAATAACAATAACAATAACAATAACAATAACAATAACAATAACAATATTATATCTGCCAAGGTTTCATCTATTTAATATATTTAACCTGTATATCTGCCAAGGTTTCATCTACACCCTTCTTCATCTGCTTCTTCATAAACTTATCATCCTCCTACAACACAGAATATTTAAAATATTTTTACGTAATGTTTTAATTACTTTTAGCCCAATCAGTCCATCTCTTTAATAATAATAATAGGACGTAATTTTAAGTAGCGGCATGTCTGATTCACCACGGTATCCATAATAGCCTTTATTGTAAGTCACTTTTGAAGCAAGCAAAACTAAAAAAAAAATTCCACATTAATAAGCATAGGGTACCGTTGTGAATCGTTTATGCCCCTCGGTTTTTTTAAATAGAGGTTTCCTTGTAATAAAATACTTATCAAAACCTGCTTTCCTAATTAATTACTTCATCATATTTACAATGAGTTGGATCCAAAATAATTTTTATGATTTATAAAAATACCTTGGCGCATTCTGTAAATATATCTGTAGTCCCCTGCGCATGTATCCTGTCCCTATGGAAGTAGTGAGACTGGAAGAATTTAGTCCAGAACTCCTGTTCACTGAGTTTACTGGGCACATTCTCAAAGTGCTTCTTCTTCACGGCGGGGTAGGTCTTGAAGATGGATTCAATGATGTCTGGGGTTAAATTGTACCGGAGACCATTAGCTCCATCAGCTTGAGGTTTTATCTCCGATAAGAAGGATCCTAGGATACTTTTTTAAGAAAGATATTCAGTAAAAGATGCACCTCCTATCAACTTCATATATATTTTCTCTGTTAACTTGACAATTAGAGTTAGACCTAATATCAAACCACAATCTGACAGTGACCTAGCTACAATTAAACTCCTGGTCCAGTTGCGTCAAAACCCAGACCTTAAACGCTTCCTTTCCTTTTTGGTAGATTCCAACCGCCTTCATAGGTTTAAAGAATAATTATTTCAGACCGCTGACCTTCGGACTAAACCTCTGAACTCCTAAATTTGCTATTACCTGATACTCCGACCTCCTGAAACACTCCCTGCTTCTGCTTTATATACTGAGAAGCATGACTCGACCAAAACTCTTCTGCTGATATGATTTGTGTTATTACCAGATCCTAAATTGATTGATTATCAGGCTTACTTACATACAGGGTTACCCTCAAAGGATGAGACTTCAGAGACGATTAATTAATCAAAAAATAGATAAATCTACAATAAAATAGTATGATAGGACATACTTCCAGATAAATGAACAGAAAAGAAACTAAAAAAAGAACAATACCTTGTATAATTGGAGTAAACCAGGGTTATCTGATAATGTTTTATTCTTCTCCTCTAACTCCTAAACATTCAGGAATAATAATAGTAACAATAACAATAATAACAATAACAATAACAATAACAATAACAATAACAATAACAATAACAATAACAATAACAATAACAATAACAATAACAATAACAATAACAATAAAAATGACAATAAAAACAAATCAAATCAGATCGGAGTTTTAGGAACGCATTACGACCACATAAACATTCTTGAAAGGACTTGATTTTCAAAGGTAATGTGGGTTTACGATTCACAACGATTTTCCGTAGTTACAATAAAAACAATAACAATCAAGTTTTTTATTTTACCTGTAATTTATTTTCTACTCCTCCATATCCTTCTCCTAGAGTACTGTCAGAGAAATTCTAAAAATTTTATTGATTTTAATATTTCAAAAACATTTATTTGACTGAATTTGTTGTCATGCCAAGCCCTTTATTAAAAACTCAATAAAAATTAATAGTATAAAGGGTATTTGTGGATAAGAAAAATTAGAAAAAAATGCAGTGTTTCTTAAATAATTTGCAGGTTTGAAACCAATCTGTAGATTATCTAGTGATTATATTTACAACTGTTACAAAGGAACTTTATGAATTTAACCTGTATATCTGCCAAGGTTTCGTCTATTCAATATATTTAACCTGTATATCTGCCAAGGTTTCGTCTATTCAATATATTTAACCTGTATATCTGCCAAGGTTTCATCTATTTCATATATTTAACCTGTATATCTGCCAAGGTTTCATCTATTTAATATATTTAACCTGTATATCTGCCAAGGTTTCATCTATTTAATATATTTAACCTGTATATCTGCCAAGGTTTCATCTATTTAATATATTTAACCTGGGTGTAGGGATGTTAACGTTATTTTTTTTTTGAAAAATCGATCGTTTCGTTATTAAAAAGGCGACAAAAAATCAAAAACGAAACAATCGTTTTTATAAAACTCGTCGTTTCGTTAACGATCGTTAACGACGACCCTTTGTTAACAATCGTTAACGAAGAGAGGAAACCCACCTGAAGGGCATCTGTACTTATCATTGTTAAGTTTTTAAGAAAATATCAAGAAGTTTTAGCTCCCCCACAACTTTTTAACTTCATGTAACTTGGTGCATGAAATTTAATACAGCAAAATGTAAAGTTCTCCATTTGGGACGAACCAACAGTCATCACATTTATAATATGAATGGAACTGATCTCATATCTATAAACAAAGAGAGATATTGGAGTCTTAATGAGTAATAGCCTCAAACCCTCTTTACAATGTACTCAGGCTGCTAACAGGGCATTTGCCTTACTGAAACAAATAACAAGAACCTTCATGTACAGGGACAGGAAAGTGTTCCTTCTATTGTACAAACAGTTTGTTCGGTGCCATTTAGAATTTGCCATCCCTGGTTAGTACAAGATATTGAAATCCTAGAACGAGTCCAGAAAAAAGCAGTTAATTTCATTGTTGGTCTATCTGGTAAAACTTATGAAGAAACACTATCTGAGCTTAATTTGACCTCACTTGCTGATCGTCGAAAAAAGTTTGACCTTATACAAACTTTTAAGATTTTGAATGGTCATGATCGTGTAGATGCCACAATTTGGTTTACAACATTTGGAGATAGTGCTAATAGACTGATCAGAAACACTGCCTACAGTATGAACCTTGTTGCTACTAGATCAAGAACAGATATTAGAAAAAATTTCTTCTCTAATAGAGTAGTAAATCTCATGAACAGTCTACCTACAGATATAAAAGATTCCAGAACAGTAAAAATATTCAAGACAAGACTGGAAAACATTAATCTGTAACCCTATTTATGCAATCAGGATCAGTGTGGGCGAGACTACTTTTGGAGCTCTGATCCGATGAACACACCGTTCCTTGAGGAATAAACCGACATCTGCGCTATGGACCAAGAGGCCCTCTGCAAATTACTCTACAAGTAAGCAAGTAAGTAAGACATTCAATAAATTTGCATGACATTTTTTTTAAAAACGACCGTTTTTATAAAGTTCGTCGTTTCGTTAACGACAACTCTTCGTTAACGATCGTTAACGACGACGCTTCGTAAACGATCGTTAACATAATTGCCAATAATTTTTTTTTCAAAATTGTTAAAAGCGATCGTTTTTTAAAAAACAATCGTATAAAAAACGGTCACAAATCGTTTTCATAAAAACGATCGTTTTCAAAAACGATTGTTATTCGTTTTTTAAAAGTTTAAAACGAGTAGGTCGTTTTTATCCGAAAACGAAACGATCATTTTTGAAAACGATTAACAACCCTACCTGTATATCTGCTAAGGTTTCATCTATTTAATATATTTAACCGGTATATNAACAATAACAATAACAATAACAATAACAATAACAATAACAATAACAATAACAATAACAATAACAATAACAATAACAATAACAATAACAATAACAATAACAATAACAATAACAATAACAATAACAATAACAATAACAATAACAATAACAATAACAATAACAATAACAATAACAATAACAATAACAATAACAATAACAATAACAATAACAATAACAATAACAATAACAATAACAATAACAATAACAATAACAATAACAATAACAATAACAATAACAATAACAATAACAATAACAATAACAATAACAATAACAATAACAATAACAATAACAATAACAATAACAATAACAATAACAATAACAATAACAATAACAATAACAATAACAATAACAATAACAATAACAATAACAATAACAATAACAATAACAATAACAATAACAATAACAATAATAATAACAATAACAATAACAATAACAATAACAATAACAATAACAATAACAATAACAATAACAATAACAATAACAATAACAATAATGATAATAAAAATAACAATTATAACAAATCAAATCAAATCAAATCAGGACGGGAACCCGACATGTAACCCCAAGACAGCCATCAGATCGCATCGCATCTTCATGCCGCCGGAAACTTGTTTAAATAGGTTCTGACACACAACCAAATTTTAGCAATGTTACCATATTAAACAAAGTAAAACTACATACTATCACAATAATAAAAATTTATTGAAAAATCCCCCCCAAGTGAACCCAATTTTTAAAAGTTATTTTCATCCAATATGTTGGAAGGAAGAGTATTGTTCATAAAAAAATAGTAAATACTTTTTACTTCAATTTTAAAACCAGTAAGAACTAAACTTTCCAGTTAAAATATTGAAGAACGGAAAAGTTTGTTTAAAAATCAATAAGGAAGTAATTAAAAAATAAACAGAGCAATTTTTATTTCCAAACAGTTTAAAACTACACGCGAACACTGGCAAGGTAATGAAATAAATAAAATTTTGAAAATTATAAATAAATTTTCTGATCTATATTTTTAGAAAGGAAAAAAAATTGAAATGAAACTGATAAAGTTGCTAGTTTTCATTGGTCAGTATACATTTAATTTATCAAATATTTAAAAAAATGATAACCATAGTCAGCGGATTTTTTTTAAATTTCCTAATTTCTATCTTGAATATTAGGAGCAGTATAGAACTATAGGAGAGAGTCCAAGGGGTATATATTTTTAGATGACTTGACCTGCAAGGGTAATTTTAAAGGACCTTCCATTTAAAGAGGGGCGTCCCCTATTCACAACGGTACCCTTTACATTTTTGACTGATGACCATTGACCACACAGACTTATCCTTATTTCTCTACAGAAACTCTTATACTTTGTTTGCAAGTTATTATACATTTAAGGAATACTCGTTGCCAGTGGAAAAATTTTTGGAAAAAAAAATCAATTTTTATAGCCTACAACACCCCGCGCCACCCATGAGTGCCCACAAAAAAATGTCAGCCCATTCGGTCCAGCCGTTTTGCCGGCTATAGGCAACATATATATGAATGTCTTCAGTTTATTATATAGATTAACGTTTACTTTCAAGAAGTGGCAGAAGATAAATATTCGGTGGAACTTTTAAAAACCCTGTTAGGCAAAGAAAATTCTGGTTTATACAGGAATGAATATGACGTCAGCCGCATCGAGTTCACACAATAAGATAGCGTACAATCCATGTTCACGGCTTTTTACACAGTTTTTAAGAGATATACACTTAGTTAAACTGAGTTATGTGTCCTTAATGTTTAATTAAAGGTTTTCAGGGTATCGTTGTATATCGGGTCTGACAGGTCATTTGAAATTTCGCTTTAATTAGTCTTAAAACATTTTATAAAAGGATTGATTCCTGTAACCGAAGATGAAAGTGGTAAATTGAATTTCAAGATTTGTAATCTGAAAACAGTGTTATCCTACTCCATCTGGTGTGTAGTGCCTTCAGTTTGTGCAATCTGTCTAGCAGTGTTTACATCAGTTACTTTCGGAACCTCGACATTTTTAATAAATGTGAACAACTTGGCTACGATGTCCCTGACAGCTTTCAGCGCTGTACTACCCTTTATCCTGCCAGGGATGATGGGGAATCTGGTCGAGAAATCAATGCTAGACCTAGAAACCATCACTCGCCCAACACAGAATCTTATTACCATTCTAGCAGGGATCATAACTGTTGGGGTAAATATCCTCCCGGCATTCTTTGATACAAAACTTTCACAAATGGAAAAATTTGAAATTATTCGAGTATTGTATTTGATAAAAGTAGCTTTTCTTACATTTGAAATACTTTGTTTTCTGATGCTACTGCAAACTATAAGCCAGGATTTCCAAAGCAAAATGTGCGAAGCAACAAATACCAAGCATGCAGAATTCATGATAAGAAAACAACTAGAAATTGTGGAAGGATTCAGGAGAATGAAAACAGGGTTTAGTCCCATGCTCTTCGCCCTCATATCTTTGTTTGGATCAACCGCCCTTATGTTATTCTACAGTTTTAAATCGTCAGCAGTGTATGGATACTCATTGTCTATTCTGAATTTAACAAATGGATTCTGTTTCTTTGCAATTCTTTACTCAATAACATCCCGATGTGATTGTATTTACAAGGCATTTAGCAGTAACAAGAGCAAATTCAGGTAAAAAACGAAATTTTCGAAGTTCGACACTTTTTGTGTGTGAAAGCTATACAATGCTTGATCTCGATATCCACTGTGGCAACTATTAGATTTAAAAGATATTTAGAGCTTAATCCTCAATTATGACCCTGCTGAATTTGAACTACGGGATAACCATAGACTAAATTCAATGAATTTGATTGAATTTGAGCTAAGTCGGTAAACTGCCTACCACCGGTTCAAATCTTGTGTCTCAGGTTTAAAGTTAAATATTCAGGAGGGTTTGATTAGGTGATTCAGGATTTAAATCGGCATTTGGGAGTTCAGCGACCTCTCAAATTCAATCAATTCGGTTTCAGGAGGAATTAATTTATTCCATTGGACGTTTAAATATCTGATAAAACTGCTTTATCCTTGGATTCACAACACAATTTTTTTTATCACTCGTAAATAATTCCAACTCCTAAATACGGGATCTGTTCCAAATTAAAGACCTTAAGAACCAAATCCAAATGATTTAGACAAAAAGAGGCATTTTACTCTAATATTTCTTTAGAACATTTGATAAATACGGCCAATAATTTTTATTTATTTTCAAGGTTGGTTTCCTTAAAATCCAGAAATACTGAGAAACCAGAAATATTAACGGGTAAGAACAATATTACAAAACTTAAGGGACTGTTGTAGTAATTCTAAGTGATACATATGTACCTGTGTAAATGGAGAGTCACTTTTTAGGAAAAATATAAAAATATTAAAATCAATAAATTATTTTTAGTTCTAGCAATGTTTGAAGAGGAGGGTCCGTTTACAGCACTAGATTTCTTCACAGTTGATAAATCAACCTTTATGAGTATTGTCAGCAATGCAGCTGCTTATCTAATAATCATGTTGCAGATTTAAATGGACTGCAGGGGTGTACATTTTCTCATATTTTCTTGCCCCCCCCCCCCCGTAAATTATTTCCCCCCAAAAAAGTTATAATTGTTTGCGCAGATTTTTGTGAAGGTTTTATTCGCAGAATTGGGAAAAAAATGATTTTTAAGAAAATGAATGACTTTTTGCGGTAAAAAGTATCAAAAGAATAATACAAAAATAGTCTTATGATGTACACTTTCTGATTTTTCCTCAAATCATCAAAAATCTTTCTAAAAATTTTGAAAAATATCACTCCTGAAGAACTGTAGACGTGATTTCAAGTAAATCTCCATCTGCACTCTGCAGGCTGTTTTTAAATAAGTTTCTTTTTCATTTCATTAAAGGATAGATAAAACTACGCCAAAAAAAGAAAATCGTCAACTACTTCTTTAAGACTATACATTTGTAAAAGCCTTCAAAAAACAAGTAAGAACACCCAGGAATTCATTTAAAGTTAAATTAATGTTGTTCTTTCAGTGGTCACGACAAAACCTATCTCTCAATGTTTTAAATATTTATTGTTAGAAATAGTTAAGCCTTTTTGTGATAATAAATAAATCTGTTTTTTTGCATTAAAATTATATAATTTTTGCTTTAAAGAAATATTTCAGCTAAATATTATTAATATTATTATCATTATTATTATTAGTACATTATTATATTTTACTTTTCTTTACTGAAAAGATGTTTTCTGTACATTTAAAAATTATATCAGAAAACACTTTCTCTAAAAACAAACAACTAAAAAAGGGAATTACCTTATTTATTTTCCGTTTAAATTTTGGTAAAAGTTCCACTAACTTCTCCTTCACACGCTCCCTGTCCGCTAACTGAGCTTCAATTCCTTCATAATCATAATCATAATCATAATCATAATCATAATCATAATCAAAATCATAATCATAATCATAATCATAATCATAATCATAATCATAATCATAATCATAATCATAATCATAATCATAATCATAATCATAATCATAATCAAAATCAAATCATAATCATAATCAAAATCATAATCATAATCATAATCATAATCATAATCATAATAATAACAATAATAATCATAATCATAATTATAATCATAATCATAGTCATAGTCATAGTCATAATCATAATCATAATCATAATCATAATCAAAATCAAAATCATAATCAAAATCAAAATCAAAATCATAATCATAATCATAATCATAATCATAATCATAATCATAATCATAATCATAATCATAATCATAATCATAATCATAATCA